TCTGGCAACGTGGTGGCTGACCCTGGTGCTGTGATGGTGGGTGGCGTGTATAGCTGTGTGCAGATGCCAGGCGCAGACGTCGGGGTAGCTCTCGGCTTCCTGGGGAGGAGATGTAGGTGGTGAGGGTGGTTTTTCCACTTTCAGGCTAGTGTGCCTCAAGCCATCCCCTGTGACTGCCTGACTCGGGGGCTTTTTTGAGGCAGAGTAAGTGGGCCCCAGGGGATCCGATTTGTACTTCATTAAGTACCTAAATTCTCGATGACCTGACTGAGCTAAGGGCCCAGGAACAGTCATGAGTCATAGCTGTTTTATTTGCAGTGCTTAAGAACATTTAAGACATTGTTTCCAGCAAATCCTTAAACCAATTAGATGAATTTGAGGGGTGGACTGTACGCAAAAGCTATGTTGTGGGACAGATCGTCTACATAAGTTGTGTTCCATACCTGCTCATAGTTTCATGGACAAATGTTAGGCAAAGTGGAAAGCTAAAATAGATGGTAAATCTGAAGTCATTATTTTGTGGTTTTTGCCTGTCTCCCTAGGTATAGGGTCAGCACATTGCATTGGCTCTGTAGTATTTGTTAATACTCCAGGATCCCTGGAAAACCGGGATCTGCTCGTGTTTAAAAACCAGTAAGAAAGCCCACTGTTAAAGCCACGTGTGGAACAGAGAGTAGCAGGTGGAACAGGGATAGCAGTTGTCTTGGGGCCAGGCTTTTCTTTCTACTGGTCTAGCTGAGGCACCTGAGGAGGAAGGTGATCTGCGTAATCCTTGGTAAGTTGGTGCTTCATTTTCCTGTAGGGATGGTGCCTGTAAAGGACCCTAGAATAGAAACTTTACACATCTTTATGTGCAACCCCAAAAGTGAGAAGTATGTTGTAGTACAGTGAAGCCATATTGAGAGTTCATATGGAGAGATTGAACATAACTGAAACAAAAGGATCACAAAATAGGACTTACCTTGCTATATGCGGAGCCTTGGTGGTGCAGTAGTTAAGAGCTATAGCTGCTAACCAAAAGGTAGGCAGTTTGAATCCACCAGCTGCTCCTTGGAAACCCTATTGGGGCAGTTCTGCTCTGTCCTGTAGGGTTGCTATGAGTTGGAATCGACTTGATGGCAACTTTTTTTTTCCCCCACTATGTGCAATGCATTGATATTTTTTATTTTCTACCATTTGATTAAAAAAACGTACTGATTACCACTCACTAATTTGGTTACTCAATAACCCACAGAGTAAGGAGCTACTCCAAGCCTTTCTCCCCCATTTTACAGTCCAGAAACTGAAACCCAAAGGGAGCCAGGGACTTGGAGTCTTTCTCCAAGCAATTGAGTGGCAGAACTGGGACTAAAATCTGACTCATCTTGCCCACTCCACCTGACTGCAGGCTCATCAATTGTCTCCCTAATTCCTCCTCACGTTTGGGAGTTTCTCGGCCATCAGACTTGGCTCAGTCAAGAGTAAGCCTTATTTGTGCTACCCTCATACCCAAGATGATTCTTCTTCCCCAGGGAGTAACATCCTTCAGACTGCCATGGTTGGGTGCTGGGTAGGAGGGTGGCAAGGTGCCCACCACATGCCCAGCAGCTAATGAACACGCTGGAGACCTGGGAGAGCTGCCACTTAGACATGAAGGACCAGTTTTTGTTTTGTTTTAAATTTTTCATTGGAGGTAGGGATGAGTAAAAGAGATGCCTGGAGAGAGATGTTTTTCTACTTGACTGAGTACGTTTAAGGAATCTTGAGCAAGTTCCAACAGGGAAAGTAGTGTCTACCTCATAGAAAGTATCATGAGGATCACATGAGATTTGCATTGTTTTTAGCATTGCTCTGATAGCAAAAGCAGTTTTACACCTTTATGAATGCTTTGGAATGTGTGTATCTAAAACCTGGTCCGGGAGGAGCATCTTGTGCCTTCTTTCACAGTTTAATGGTTGTACCTGATTCATGCTTTGGTATACTGGCAGGCAGACCATGAATTAGTAGCTTTCCTCTGGTATTGCTCTTACTCAAGAGGTCTTTTCAGTAGACTTGTATGAACTGGTCTTTGTAGCCCTACAGAAGGGGCTTGTGTGGCCAGGCATCTCGGAGCTCCACCTTCTGGAGAGAGTACAGAATGGCTGGAATGTACTAAGGAGCCGATTGCCTGTGTTGTGTCTTGGGACTCTTCTCAGCACATGCCTCTGTCTGGGGTGATGAGAAGGCAGTGCCGGATGCCAGGACCTTTGCTTCTCTGCTCTTTGTATGTAGGAAAACTTATTGATTCCTAATCCTTGAGTCAAATGGAGGCCTAGAATCAGGTTCTCTCTGAAAAGAATAGATTAACACTAGTTTAAACCCTTTGAAGAGGCTACTTTATAAATAGGAAAATATAAATACAGGGTGAAAGCACTTTCATAGGATAAGCTAACTGTCCTATGTGCATAGCAGGAATGCTGTATCAAGGCAGAGGTGACAGAGACCCTGGGGCCCTGTGGAGGGGGTTTGGCATCCAACAGACTGGGGTTAACTTGAACGCCAGTGGCTTAGTATCTATGGCCTTGGATGAGTTTCTTCACTTCCCTGAATCTTGGCTTCATCATTTGCAACAGGGAGAGTAGTGTCTACCTCATAGAAAGTACTATTAGGATCAAATGAGATCAGTTCCTGTAACAAGCGTGGCATGTAATAGGAGCTTTACCCACGTTAGAGGGCAGAGGACTCATCTTCAACAGACTGGTCCTCACCACCACCATCTCACATGGTGTCCTGGGAACTGAAGGAGTTAAAATGTAGTTTAAGCCCTGTTGTTGTCAGCTGCTGTCGAGTTGGCTTCGAGTTGTGGTGACCCCATGTACAGCAGAACAAAACATAGTCCAGTCCTGCATCATCTTCACAATTGTTGGTATGCTCGAGTCCATTGTTGTGGCCACTGTGTATTTTGACTGCCTTCCAACCTAGGGGGCTTATCTTCCAGCACTATACTGGACAGTATTCTGTTGTGGTCCATAGAGTTTTCATTGGCTAATTTTTGGAAGCAGATCACCAGGCCTTTCTTCCTAGCCTTAGTCTGGAAGCATCGCTGAAACTTGTCCACTATGGGTGACCCTCCTGGTATTTGAAATACTGGTGGCCTAGCTTCCAGCATCATAGCAACACACAAGCTACCACAATATGACAAACTGACAGGTGGTGGTGAGCTCTGTAGGAGTGCTAATAGAAACTTGTAGCCTGTTCTTTCCTGTTTTCCTGTGACAGAACACAGCTTGACATGCCCTGAAACGGTTAAAAGAGGTACAAGCACAGGTGTGGTTTGCTAAGATCCATTGTGTGGCTCCAGGTCCGGGGCCTCATAATGGGTGATAGCACTAATCACCCCAGGAGTCCAGCTTTGGTTTTGAAGATGTGCCCCAGCTTTTGGTGGGGTCAGGATAGAACCGATAAAAGTAGTCTGTGATCTAGAACACTATGTATCTTTTTATTTTATCTTATTTGTTTTTTATTATACTTCAGGTGAAGGTTTACAGAATAAATAGTTTCTCACTACACAGTCAGTATGCATATTGTTTTATGACATTGGTTAACAACCCCACGACATGTCAACACTCTCCCTTCTCGACCTTGGAGGACCTTTTTCCTTTTTTGGTGAAAATATACATAGCCAAAGATACACCATTTCAAAAATTTTACATGTAGAATTCAGTGACATCGATTACGTTCTTCCAGTTGTGCTGCTATTCTCACTGTCCTTTTCCAAATTATTCCATCACCACTGCCCCCTAGGCTTCCCATCAAACCTTTTGAGTTGCTGTTGTCAATTTATCTCACATAGATAATTCTTTTTTTTTGTACTTTAGATGAAGGTTTACAGAACAGAATAGTTTCTCAGTAAACAGTACACATATTGCCCTATGACAATGGTTAACAACCCGACATGTCAGCACTGTCCTTACTTAACCTCGGGTTCCCTGTCACCAGCTTTCCTCTCCCCTCCTGCCATCTAGTCCTTGTCCCTGGGCTGCTGTGCCTCATTAGTCCCGTTTTGTTTTATGGGGCTGTCCAATCCCCAGCTGAATGGTGAACCTCAGGAGTGACTTCACTACTGAGCTAAAAGGGTGTCTGGGGGCCGTACCCTCGGGGTTTCTCCAGTCTCTGTCAGGCCAGTAAATCTGGTCTTTTTTTGTGTATGTTAGAATATTGTTCTACATCCTTCTCCAGCTCTGTCCAGAACCCTCTGTTCTGATCCTGGCCAGAGCAGTCAGTGGTGGTAGCTGGGCACCATCTGGCTGTACTGGACTCAGTCTGGTGGAGGCCTTGGTAGCTGTGGTTCATAAGCCCTTTGGACTAATCTTTTCCTTGTATCTGGTTCTCTTCATTCTTGCTTGCTCCTGAAGGGGTGAGACCAGTGGAGTATTTTAGATGGGTGCTCACAGGCTTTTAAGACCCCAGACACTCTATGTATCTTTGTAAACGAGTTAGCCAGCCTTGATCAGTTGTTTTTAGATGCAGATGTTAATCATTAAAGCTGGGCCCAAGCTCCACTGCTAATAGGGTTAATGGAGCTTGTCTTTGGCCTTGGGCAGAGACAATGTGTGTAGACACCTTGGTGAGCCAATCTTAGTAAATGGTGCCTAGGCAGGTTTTTCCAGTGTTTAAGTGCACTTTATAAAAACATAACAGAGACCTGGGCATCATCACTTTAAGGTGAACAGTCTGTTAGAAAATGGCAAGATATAATCCAAGTAATAGTTTGGCTTCGCGTTTTCCCTGCTGTGGTGGCTTTCTTATGCTGTCGTGGGAGGCGCTGGCCATTTGGGTGCCCCTGGAGCCCTGGCCCTGCCTGTCGGCGACAGCCCCACCCCGCGTGTTTGTCTTTCTGCTGGAGGAGGTGAGGCGGGGTGGGGTTCCCGCCCGTCTAGAGCTCAGGCTGTTTGCCTTTCAGCAGCTGGAGGAGGCGAGCAGCTCTAAGGCGGTTCCCAGGCCCCTTCCAACCCCTGTGTCGCTGTGTTTGCTTCTGGCAGAGTGTCCTGGCCCTTGTAAGCTGAGGAGCTGAGGCCGGACAGAGGGGGACGCGTGGACAGACGGAGGACGCGCTGGCCGCTGGACCCCGCTGCCTCCCCCGTCTCTCCGCTGCCCGCGCCCGGAGGATGAGCCCAGCCTTCAGGGCCATGGACGTGGAGTCCCGCACCAAGGGCATCCTGCTGGAGCCCTTTGTCCACCAGGTCGGGGGGCACTCGTGCGTGCTCCGCTTCAACGAGACGACCCTCTGCAAGCCCCTGGTCCCGAGGGAGCACCAGTTCTACGAGACCCTCCCAGCCGAGATGCGCAAATTCACTCCCCAGTACAAAGGTGAGCCCCCAGCGCCCGTAGGGGATGCCAGGGGATGCCAGCGCCGGGTGGAGGAGACGCCAGGGGTGGCGGCCGTTGAAGGTCTATGCCGCCTTTCCGGGAACCCTCATTCCCTCCCACTCACTGTTTTCCCTCGTCCTCCTCCCCTTGGCCCTCAGCCCAGCACCTCACACCCTCAGTTTTCAAGCCCTGGTAAGATTGCTCAATTCTGTTTTGTTTTGTGGATTTGTTTTGAGTTTATTTTGGTGGAAGTGTTTTATGTTCAGGTGTCTCTTGATGCCAGAAGCCATAGTCTCCCCTCGGGGGAACAGCGGGAGAAGACTTTGGGAGGGTTTTACCCAGAATACTTGCCGCCTGGGTCTTCTCCTCCAGGAACTCAGAAGCCGGGGTGATTAGGTAGGCTGGGAGCGGGGTTGATTGAGTCAGATGGAATGCAGGAGTGGGAGGCCTGTGCTGATTAGCTGAAGCCCTTTGCTGTTACGGAATGTCCCTGCAGTTGCTATCTGAAGAACCCCTTTGATTCACATATGGTGGCTTTTTCTTCCTTTTTACAATGCATTCATTTTTCGGGGGACATCAGCAGCCACCGGCATGGTGCGGCCTTCCCTGGGGGTGGGGGTCAGATCCTTTGTAAATCAAGGAAGAGCCCATTAAGGAAATTAATTTTAAATTTGCATTGCCCGGTTGTACAAAAGACTCTGGCACAACTAGGTTCTTCTGGGACTGTTAAATGTTTTTTAAAGCCAGAATGTACTGGGTGCGCCTCTCTTTGTAATCTAAATATGTATATGTGTTTTTGGTGGGGGTGGGGGAGTTGGGGGCCCTCACTTGGTCCTTCTCTGTTATTTTTTCCAGGACAAAGCCAAAGGCCCCTTGTTAGCTGGCCACCCCTGCCCCCTTTTTTCCCTTGGTTCTTTTCCCCGTGGCCACAGGGAAGTGTGGTCCCCTGAATTCCCCACCCCGGCTCTTCTGCACCCAGAGCTGGGGGGTCACCTCAGAAGTGTCGTCTCTCTGAGAGAACGCATTCCCCTGCAGGAGCAGGCAGGCAGCAAGGACTGAGCAGATTGAGTGATCCCGGGCAGAGAGGCCTGGGAGGAAAGGCGTTCAGCTAATCGGTTGTAAGGCTTGCTCGTCGGCACCTGCTGAAATGCTCCCACCTGACAGCCCCCCTCAAAGACTGTTTAATTACACCTAGCAGGTTCTAGAGACTCCAGGGGGAGAGCTGCTTTCGAGGCCACCACGCGTCTGTGCTCCCTGCCCAACCCCATCTTCCTTCTGTTCATTTTTTGTGACTTGAGACTACAAAGACCAATAAAGTGACATGTTTGAGAAGGACTGAAGGCGTGGGGCACCCGCCTGCCCACGTGGGGGTGCTGTGGGAAGCCTTTCTAGGATATCTGTTGTGCTGTGTGGTTTGTTTTGTTTACCCATTTATTTTGCTTTGCTTGCACAGTCTTCCCTTACCCTTGGATGCTTCTTACCACCCCTACCCGCCAGGCAAATCTGTGTCCCCCAGGGACTTCAGCTCTTCTTCGAAGTAAGCCTTGAGGCTGTTGGTATTTCTCTTTAGGGAATTAAAAATTTCTGCAAGATATAAAGAGCAAATGTTTTACGTCTCTCTCAGGATTAGAAGAGTTCCACAAAAATTAATAAACATTTTCAACGATGGAAAAATGTGTCTTGTAATTCTTTGGCTCTTGCCTTGTTGAGTGCATCAGAGAGGAAGACTCTAAGCCATGTTTGCTCCCTAATTGCTTGTCTTGTATGGTGTCATCTTTTCTAGCTGTTTTGATGTTTGTTAGGTTTGCAGATGAGTTTGGGGCCTCTGGCAACAGAGAGACTAAGGAACAGGGTAAGAAAAAAAAAAAACAAATGTTACAATCATGTTATTTAGAACGCATCTTCCTGTAGAATTAAAAGTCTGCTCTGCTCCTCATCCCCTTTCCAGGTGTGGTGTCTGTGCGCTTTGAAGAAGATGAAGACAGGAATTTGTGTTTAATAGCATATCCATTAAAAGGGGACCACGGAACTGTGGACAGTGTAGACAATTCAGACTGTGAACCAAAAAGTAAACTCCTAAGATGGACAAACAAAAAACATCATGTTTTAGAAACTGAAAAGACCCCCAAGGACTGGGTGCGCCAGCACTGGAAAGAGGAGAAGGTGAAGAGGTGGGTGTAGACTGAGAGGGGAACCCTGGGCTCTGTGGGAGGGGTCTGAGTCAGGGCCTGGCCTCCCGGAGCCAAGGACACAATGGTCTTAGTAGGTGCCTCATCACCCAGTGGCCAGTGCCCACGCGGCACGCCCGCCTGGCTCCTCTCTAATTAGATCATACCATTTTGGGGAAATGGCTGCTGCAGCAGCTGTAAATGACACTCAGCTGCTCATTCCTTCCGTTACTGCTCTGTGCCAGGCCTTCTGCTGTGTTCTGGGATGTAGCAGTGACCAAGACAGGAGCCAGTCTTGTACCTCAGGTTGCTCAGAGATGGTGGAGGACGGAATAGTCTCCCTGAAATTCGGAGGTCCACCAAAACAGGGCCTTCAAAGTGTCACACCTTGGCAGAACTTGTGAAATAGAAGTAGTATATATACAGTGTAGTATCTATAATGTAGCTAAGCAAGTTGACTTACTCCCATGGAATTTCAATTCAGATTTTCCCAGCCACCAGCTTTCAGAGTCAGACCAAAAACCAAAACAAACCCATTGCCGTCGAGTCAATTCGACTCATAGCAACCCTATAGGACACAGTAGAACTGCCTTATAGGGTTTCCAAGGAGCACCTGGTGGATTCGAACTGCCAACCTTTTGGTTAGCAGTCGTAGCATTTAACCTCTACACCACCAGGGTTTCCTTCAGAGTATGAGGACCCTAGATATACCAGAAGCTGGGGTGGTCCTGGCTAAAGAGGGCAGTGGAGGCTGCCTGCCTGCTTTTAGGGGAAGTGGGGAGATGAGGGCAGAGGCTGTTCTTGCACCTTAGGTTCTCCTTGCTGTAGAAAACAGTGGGCTGCCTCCTTAATTATTTTTTTAAAATAAACTTTATTGAGGTGTAATATATATTCAATAAAGTGCACCTGGTTGAGGCGTTCAGTTGAATGAGTTTTGCAGATATATACACTGTAACTACCACCACAGCAAGATGGTAAACTTCCCATCACACCAGGAAGTTTCTTTGTACCTTTTTGGCCGTTAATGTTGACAAAACATAGTGATTTACTGAATCCTTATCTCTTTATAGCCATAAGTTGGAAGAAGAATTTGAGTGGTTAAAGAAATCTGAAGTCTTGTACTACAGTGTAGAAAAAAAGGGAAATGTGAGTTCCCAGCTTAAACACTATAACCCTTGGAGCATGAAGTGTCACCAGCAGCAGTTACAGCGAATGAAGGAGAACGTGAAGCATCGGAACCAGTACAGTATCCTTTGTTCACAGAGCATCTCTGTCTTGGGGCGGGGGAGAGGATAGTGAGGAAGGCCCTTGGAACCCAAAGAGAGGTTGGATTTTTTTTAGTTTTGGTTGAGTTTCCTCCTCTACCAGGACTGTGCCAGGACACGCTGTGCGATAACCATGGGCAAATCACACCTTCAGGGCTAAGGGCTGGCGTGGGAGTATAGGTAGTAAGGAAGGGAGGGGTGAGGGGTGCTTCATGGAGGGGCCAGTCTGCACTGGGTGGGCCTGGGTAGCCTAGAGGAAGAGGGCAAGGGACTGGTCCCTGTTGTCAGACTCGTGAAGGGGTCCTTACTCAGTGCTCACCTGCCAAGGCCTGGAGCATAACTATCCTTTAAGTCCTGGTTCCCCAGACCAGGAGATGGGCAGTGCATGAGGAAAGCACCAGGGCCCTTTTTTCCCACCCCCAACCCTTGCCCATTAAGCTATGCTTCATTTGTTTAGATTTTTTTTTTTTTTTTTTAATCATCTAACGGCAAGGGGGTGTCTCAGATAAAATTGAGGATTTTTCTTTTCTTTTTTTTTTTTTTTTAACTTGTCATTAGGGGAAAATTTAAACATGTTAACAATAGAATAATATGTTGAACTCGTAAGTACCCATGACCCAGGCTGAACAGTTAACCCACTTTTGTGAGTCTGTCTATATACACCCGGCACCCCCCAGCTGGATTATTTTTGAAGCAGATCTCAGGTATATTATTTCATCTGTGTACACCTCAGCGTGTATCTAAAAAATAAGGATATATTCAAACATTATTATTCCTTAAGAAGTAGACAGTACTTCTTTAATGTCAGATACCTAGTTTTGTGCCCACGTTTTCCTCATTATCTCATAAATATGTTCATTGATGGCTTATTTGAATAGGGATCCCAATGAGGTTCACGCTCATCTGGTTGCATGAGTTTGAAATGTCTAAGTCTTTTTAGATGCCCCTTCCCATTTTTAATCCTTGGAGATGTCAGGAAAACTGGGTGTTGCAGAGTTTCCCACAGTCTGGGTTTTGCTGACTGCACCCCTGTGGTTTCTCTGTCCCGTGTATTTCCAGTAAGCTGATAATTGGATCTAAAGGCTTGATCAGATCCAGTTCAGTTTTAGGGGTGGGGGCAAGAGTCTGTCATAGAAGGTATTATGATGTCCAGCAGGAAGTACAGTGTTTTAATTGTCTTTCTCTTTTGGCTCATCATTACCTTAGCTCCATTTTTTCATTACGTGATTTTCTATTTCTGTCATATTCTTCATCCGTTACCTGCAGTCTTTCTATAAAGGGGAACTTACCCTCATCGACTATGTGGTTATTCTGAGGTATAGTCCATATAGGGAAGAACAGGTTAAATGTTTATTTTCCTTCATTTACTAGATACTTGGAATAATGAGTGTTCCTAACATCCTCCAAAGATGACCAGTGAGTGTTTTAGTATCACTGTGAGTGCATGGATTTAAATATATTTGATGTGTCCATTGCAGTTGTCCTGACTGATGCTCACATCTTAGGCCAGTAGCAGCCTCTTCAGGTGGGCTTCTAAGTCATTTTGATAACATCCACAGTAGTCTGTGATAGCTGTCTTGCTTTCTGGCATGAAAAGATGCTCCAAGGTCATGTATATTTCCTCCCCCAGATGTGGGCTCAGACTTTTGGCAGGCTTTTTGGTAAAGGGCCAGATAGTAAATATTTTAGGCTTTCTGGGCCATACTGTCTATGCCACGGCTCTGCTGTAGTAGCATGAAGGCAGCCATAGACAGTAATGTAAGTGAATAAGCGTAGTTGTGCTCCAGTAAAACTTTATTTATGGCCTTTCAAATTTTTGGTAAAATTTTCATGTGTCATGAAATGTTATTTTTCTTTTAAATTTTTTTTTTTCCCCATTTAAAAATGTAAAAACCATTCCTACCTTATGGGGTATACAACAACAGGCACGGGGCGGTAGCTTGCCAATCCCTTCTCTAAGGATCCCTGGTTTCTTTTAATGGGAAATGGGAAGGCCACAGTTTGGGTGTTAGGGGTGTTCCTCCTGGTCATTGTTTCTAGGCCTTTTCAGTGGACACAGCTAGGAAATACACATTTATTCTAAAGAAAAATATTTTCCTGAATTCATACTGATATTTCCAGTTCATATTTAGGACTTAAGATTTACTGAGCTTATTTGATGTTCTATTTGTAATTGAGGACAGTATGCTGCTGGACGCTAGTCCTGCCCCTGGCTGAGTTCAGGGGATTATGTATCTTCTGGGAGAAGGGGACAGGAGGAGATGTGAAGGTTCTCTTAGTTCTCTAGCCAGCCTTGGGTTTCCTCCCTGAGAGAAAGCAGGACTGACGCGGCCCTCTTTAGCTGGCTGGCGTGAGGCCCTGTGGGCCTCGGCTTCTCTGGAGCACTGTGTGCAGGCATTGTGCCCCAGGAGTGCCAAGGCCCCATCCAGCAGCACTTCCTCTTGGGGGAGATTGTCCTTAACCACTCAGAATTTATTTTGCTGGAGAACCTGACCTCTCGCTATGAGGTACCTTGTGTCCTGGACCTCAAGATGGGTACACGCCAGCATGGTGACGATGCTTCAGAGGAGAAGGCAGCCAACCAGATCCGCAAGTGCCAGCAGAGCACATCTGCGGTCATCGGGGTGCGCGTGTGTGGCATGCAGGTGAGGGGTGTGCTGGCACATGGCATGGGCTGACCAGGGCATCCAGTGGCTGCCACTCCTCTGCCCTGGCATAGTCTTGTTTTCTCAAAAGATTTTAGAAAAGATACACGCATACCTGTGCAATCGCCTCTGGGGCTGGCCTTGCTCACTAAGTCCACCGAATCCAGGACAGGAGTAGGGAGGAAGGAAAGATGGTTAGGCCCTCACCATGGACCCACATGCCAAGCACAGGGGGCTGGTGCACAGTGTTGGAGGCCAGGTCAGAGGGCTGCATCCCAGGAGGGGGGTGAGCGGGGAGGACAGCAGCTCATGTGCAGCTTTTGTACGTGACAAGTTAAAGAACCTGATCCAGGGCCGCCACACTGCCTCCCTTCCCCCTCTACCATCCCCAGGGTCCAGGCTCTGAAACCACCCTCAGCTCCTGACCTGCTGCTGGTCTTCCTTCCCACAGGTGTACCAGGCAGGCAGTGGGCAGCTCATGTTTATGAACAAGTACCACGGGCGGAAGCTGTCAGTGCAGGGCTTCAAGGAGGCACTTTTCCAGTTCTTCCACAACGGGCGGTACCTGCGCCGAGAGCTCCTGGGCCCTGTGCTCAAGAAGCTGGCTGAGCTCAAGGCAGTGTTAGAGCGACAGGAATCCTACCGCTTCTACTCAAGCTCCTTGCTGGTCATCTACGATGGTAAGGAGTGGCCGGAGGTGGCCCTGGACTCAGATGCTGAGGACTTGGAGGACCTGTCAGAGGAGTCAGCCGACGAGTCTGCTGGTGCCTATGCCTACAAGCCCATTGGCACCAGCTCAGTGGACGTGCGCATGATTGACTTTGCACACACCACCTGCAGGCTGTATGGCGAGGACAGTGTGGTGCATGAGGGCCAGGACGCTGGCTATATCTTTGGGCTCCAGAGCCTGATAGACATTGTCACAGAAATAAGCGAGGAGAGTGGAGAGTGAGCCTGCCGACTGCACTGGAACCTGAGAGACTCGTTAGTCCCAGACCAGCTGTGCTGCGTCAGGGAGGCGTGGAGGAGGCCAGCCTGGCCAGGCGGTTGCCCCTGCAGCCTGGAGCTGACCCCCAGAGGCCTCTGTGAGCCCTGGCCTGAGCCAGCCCCAGCTGCCCTCGGAGTCTTTATTTATTTTAACTGTTTCTTCAACATTCCACATTTGATGATGCAGATACCTCTTTCTTCCCTGAGTGTAAACGTTCCAATACAGATCTTTTTGTTAATTGTACACAGTGCTGCTGTCATTCTTGCCAGGGGCAGGCAGCCTCCCCTACCCCCTAATCCTCAGGAGCCTCACCACCTGCTGTGACCTCCACCCTGGCCTACCTCAGAGCAAGATTCTCCTGGCCACCACTCTCCCCGCCCAGACCCCAAACTTCCACAGCCTCTTGGCTTGGTCCTTAATCTCAACCCAGCACCCTGAGGTCACCCAAAAAGGACCCATACACACACAACTGGGCCCCTCTGGGGTCTGTTCTGGTTTAGTGTCCAGCACCCTCTACCCAAAGAACCCCACCTGATACAGGTCTTCCCCTGCCCTTGTGCACCTTAAGCCAGAGTTGGGCAGCAGGTGCTCCAAACCGTAAGTCCAGCTTTTGATAGCTCCTGCTCTACTAAACCAAAAGAAGAAAAAACCTGTTGCTGTTGAGTTGATTCCAAGTCATAGCAACCCTATCGGACATGGTAGAACTACCCCACATAGTCTCCAAGGAGCACCTGGTGGATTCGAACTGCCAACCTCTTGGTTAGCAGCCATAGCTCTTAACTGCTATGCCACCAGGGTTTCCTGCGCTCTGCTAGCAGCTGCTAAGTGGCTGGACACTATGATGTCAGATATCCTGGAGCCAATGCTAGGGCCTCAGGTAGCTTCCAGGCTCTGTGGTAAAGGGACTCAGAAGGGTGGGTCTTAAGGAGAGGGGATGTTCTGGGCAAAGTGGCATTCTTGGCTATACCACCTGTCCCCACTCCTACACAGTCCTGGGCATGGCTACGGCTACACTGGTCTCATCCTTCACAAGTCTTCCAGAGAAGTACCTCAGCTCCAGGAGGAGAGATGGTGGTGGGAGGTCTTGAACTGCAGCGCCCGTATCCCCCGGAGGGGTGTAGACCCTGTGCAGAGAGGGCAAGATCTAGGGGGTTCAGTTCTAGCAGCCCCACTTCCCAACCCCTTCTGTCTCAGACCTTCTCAGAGCCTCCTCCTTAAGGCCCACTATGCCTATGTCCACTATGCCCAAAAGCAGACCAACAGCATACACAAGCCTGGCCATGCTCCCAGTCCCTGCTCCCTGGGCCCAGGTTTCCAGTGGGGAGTGCGTGGTTGAACACAGAAACGGAAGGCCCCCAGGCACCCTCTAGATCCAGGGCCTTCAAAGATCTGGAGGTCAAGACACTGGAAAGGTGAGCTGGCCAGTCATGGTGCACTGGCCACGTGGCACCCCACTCCCCACCCTTCATGAGCCCTGCTGTCTGCCCTCAGAAGGGCGCACCAGAAATAACAATTTGGAGTTTTAAGTCCTGTAAAGACAATCAAACAAAGCAATGTGAGAGTGACTGTTAAGGGTGGGTGAATGACTGTATGCTGTGAGGGAGGGAGAGAGTGTCCCAGGCAGAGGGAACAGAATACTCAAAGGCTCCAGGATAGAAAGGTAGAGTGAGAAGCCAGCAGCTGAAGGGAGGATACCAAAAAAAACCAGACCTGTTGCCATCAAGTGGATTCCGACCCATAGCGACCCTTTAGGACAGAGTAGAACTGCTGCAGGATTTTCAAGGCTGTTATCTTTAGGGAGGCAGACTGCCACATCTTTCTCCTGCGGAGCCGCTGATGGGTTCTAACCGCCAACCTTTTGGTTAGCAGCCTACCGCTGAACCACTGCGCCACCAGAGCTCCTTTGAAGGGAGAATGAGGGGCCCTAAAAGGATGGGAGGAGTTTGAGTAGGGGAATGGCCCGACTTGGTTTCTGTTTTTACGGCTCCTGCTCCCCACTGCCCACCACGGGAGGGAGGCGGCCCGAGTGAGGACTTGCTGAAGAAGGGTGCAGAGACCAAGAGATGCCGATGAGGCCAGGCCCCCGCGGGGGCATACAAATGTTGGATCATCCAGATCCAACAATGGGACCGTCCTCTCGAGGTCGCTGTCCTCTCTGTTAGTGGGTCCGGGGCGACAGAGGCGCGTGGGACTACGTGAAGGACACAGAACAGAGGACATAGCCCCTGCCGTTGGGACTTCGTGGGGACAGTTCCTTTATCGAGGCCAAGCGCCCGGACTTGAGCGGGAGAAGGGAGTGGAGGGTCAGGCGGGGGAAGCCGAGGCCGGGGTTTCGGAAGGAGGACGTAAGGACCTAGGCGTCCGGGAGGTCCGGAGATGACAGGGCTGCGGGGTCTGGAGCCCCGCCAAGCCACGCCGCTTGGGGCCGCCAGGGGGCGCGGCGCTCCCGCGCGTGGGCCACAACACTCCTGGGGCGGGGCTGCGGCGGGCGCGCGCGCGCACGCGTGGTGTCACGGGGCGGGACGAGCGCGGCGCGGCGCTCCGGGCCTGGAGTCTTGTCTCTGCAGCCCTCGCCGCCTGTGCTGCCCCGGCGCGGCGCCGCCCGGCCCCATGTACCGCGCGCTGTACGCGTTCCGCTCGGCGGAGCCCAATGCTCTGCCATTCTCTGCGGGCGAGACCTTCCTGGTGCTGGAGCGCAGCAGCGCGCACTGGTGGTTGGCAGCGCGAGCGCGCAGCGGCGAGACGGGCTACGTGCCACCTGCCTACCTGCGCCGCCTGCAGGTGAGTGTGCCCCTCCTCGGCCTGGCCTCAGCAGCCCAGAGACTGGGCACCGTCACAGGTCCGCAGAACCGACCCCAGGGACCCGAGGCCTTCCGGAACCCGAGGTCGGGATTTCCAGCACACAGGAAGTTTGAGAACCTGACCTTGATACCCAAGACTCACGGGACTGGGACCCCAAGAGCCAGAACCCCCTATAAGAGACGAGGCCCTTCACAGCCAACTCTGAGGACTCCAGACCTACCAAAAGTTTAACTCTGGGACTCTCAGACTCCTGGGGACCCCAGACCCGTAGATAGTTTAGGACCCAGTATCTGAAACCCCATCTGAATAGCAGTCAAGAGCCAGACCTACGAAACTCTGGCCAGTTCCCCAGATCCCTAAGACCCCAGGCCCTTAATATGCCGCTTCCCTGGATCCCCAGGCTCTCACGCTCTTGCCTCCTGCCTTCAGACCCCCAGCTGGAGCCACGTCCTCCACCCCCTGAGACCTGGGCCACCTTGGACAGCACCTGTTTTCCCAGCCATCTCCCAGTTCTTCAACCGCCCCCCCTCCCCCCGCTTGGACCCTGGAGCCATAGACACCCCAGATCCCCTAGGTGACCCTAAGCCTTGAGACCTCATTGTCTTTCACTGCTCTTCCCAAGACCCGCAACCCTCTTTGAACCAAGGATCCTAGCCACTGCTGACACTCCCTGGCATCACTACCCCCACCACAAGTCAGGCCCCGATTTCTTAGGCTTTCTTCTTCTGAAACTGGGGGGATCCATCCTGCCCTGTCCCCAGCCTGCAGGGGGGCTATTCCCATTGTGAGGAAATGAGCTCCCTGACGGCTTCCCTGGTCTGGCCACAGCCCCATTTCCTTCCAGTGGGGGCTGCAGCCCCCCTTTCTGTTTCCTCAAGAGTAGCCCTGCTACAGAGGACAGGATGGGGCACCTGCATCATGTCTATTCTGACCACAGGGAAGAAGGGCCTGGAACCTCCAGGCCTGGCCTGTGGCAGACACCGCTGTCCCCTGCTAGTCTAGCCTTTAGGAAAGATAGTGTCCTAGTCCAGTTCAGAATAGAAATAGTGAGATAAATTTGGACATCAGTCGTCTCAAGGAGTTGGGTCTGGAGGCTTCCTCACAGACCCTCAGTCTGATCCTATCTAGGAGTACCTGGGTTGAGAGTAGGGGGCCCTGGACACCTGAACTTCTGAGTCTAGGGTGTGTCATACCCAGCCTATCTGGGGCCCAGTGCTTGTTGGAGGCCTCTGAGGAAACGCCTGCCTCTTCCCACACAATAGGGCCAGTGGGGCTGGACATTTGGGGAGGGCAAAGAGGCTACCATCTTCTGTCTTGTATGTGTGTCTCTCTGTCTCGGTCTCGGTTTCTTTCTGTGTATTCTCCTCTATTTCAGTCACCCTGACTCTTTGTATCTCTCATTCTGACGCTTCATCTTTGTGTGCGCGTCTGTCTGCTTCCCTCTGATCCCTTTCCTCTCTCTGTCTCATCCCTCAGTTTCTTTCTGCGTCGTTGTCTGTCTCCTCCTGCCTTGGTCTCCCTCAGTCTGCCTCAACTCTCCTCGGAGTCTCTCTCTTGATATCTTTCTGACTGTGTGTGTGTGTCTTTGTCCTTCTTTCCCCCTCTCTCTGTGTCATGTCACCCTGCACTCTGGCACACCCCACATCACCTGGAGGGCTTTGCTGACCTCTGTGTCCATCTGTCTGTCCCCATCAAGGAAGCTTCTCAAATTTGCTCTGGAGTGAGGCCCGCTCTGAGGCCCCTTTGTAGCCTAATGGACTGGGTGTGCCAGGGACGGTGGAGGGGTGGAGGTGGCTGGTCCCACAGCTGCCCCCTCCCCATGCCAGGCAAGCTGGGTAAGATTGGACCCCTGGGTTGCTGGGGATAGCGCAGAGCCTGGGGCAGGAGCCAGGCTCCTCTCTCATGTCCATCCTTTGCCACAAACAGAACTGCTGCTTCCCAGGGCAGGTCTTGAGGATTCCTAGGACAGCTTGACAGGGATGAGGGCGAGCAACCCGGAAAGGGAGGGGAGGTCCCTTCCGCCAGTCCTCGGCTTCCAGGGCCTGCAGAGGGCTCCCTGGGGGCAGGGCTGTTCTAGAGCATGACCTTTGTTTTGTGAAGGACCAGCAAGCTCCAGAGTGATTTATTAAGGGTTCAGACAGGAGGCTTCCTTCCTGACAGCTCAGCCCGGACTCTTGAGCGGAGCCCGGGGCGAATGTGGGAGTGCCATCTTAGCCTCATGCGAGGGGCCCTGGACTGTGTTTTTGCTCTGGACCCCTGGTTTATGGAGACATCTTAGCTGAGACCCTCACTGTGGGGTGAAAACTCCTGAGTGGGGCCCTAGTATGTAAAATGGCAACGTGGGGACACCCTGTGTCCCTGCTCCCTGAGTGACTGCTTGAGAACCCCATTCCATACACTAGTTCAAAAGTCTGTGCTTGTACCCAGTATCCCAGGCTCTGGATCCCAGCCTGCCCTGGGTTTCGTCCTGGGCTGGATCTGGGCTGGGCACCCCCACTGGGCCCCCAGGTCTAACTGCCCATCCTCACTTCCCCAGGGCCTGGAGCAGGATGTCCTGCAGGCCATTGACCGGGCCATTGAGGCTGTGCACAATGCAGCCATGCGGGATGGCGGCAAATACAGCCTGGAGCAGCGCGGAGTCCTCCAGTGAGTGAGCATGGTGGGGTGGCAGAGAGAGTGGGGCATGGGGAGATGAGGGTGAGGGGCCTTGACTGTGGGGGGCCCAACGTCCCACAGGGAGCATGTAAGGACTTTGGGAGTTGTGAGGTACCTACCAACAGTCTCCCTGCCCCCTATCAGGAAGCTGATCTGCCACCGGAAAGAGACCCTGTCCCGCAGAGGCCCCTCAGCCCCCAGCCCTGCAGCTATGACCTTATCTACCAGCGACCACCATCTGGATGCCGCTTCTGCCAGGCAGCCCAATGGGATGTGTCGCACTGGGTTCAAGTGGCAGCACAGCCTGCCCAGTTCTGAGCATGTTGGGGCAGCTGGAGGTCTCTACCAGGTATGTGGTGAGGGCACCCTGGGGAAGGAGGATGGGCTGAAGGCTTTGTCCAGAGGCTTCAGGTGTCCACTCGTGTCAGAGATGCAGCCCAGAGCTCAGGGTCCAGCCAGGCTGCCACCCACGCCCTGTCTGTCCTAGATCTCACCACAGCCTCACCGAGTGGCACCAGCCATGCCTCCTCCACCTGTGAATCGTCAAGACCGCGAGGCTCTAGTGGCCTTGGGGAGCGGTGAGAAGGCGGGAGGGGTTTCGGGGAACTAGGGGACACCCTGTGCTTGGAATGACTGCTGTGCTGGTGTCAGGGAGACAGGGGCTCCAGGCTTGGGGGAGGGACAGGGCCCATGTTGGGTCGATTGGGGGCACTGGGCTTGGTGGCGAGACAGGGCCTGGTAGAGGAGCTGGGCTCTGCATTGGGGGACAGGGGCTCTGGGCTTGTTAGGGTAGGGTCCCTGGGGGCTGCCCCACCACAGCATCTGCTCTGCCCACAGGTGGCCGCACCGCCACGCCCTCGGTGGGGAGCTCTGTGTCCGGCAGCCCCTCAGTCAGCAGCACCTCCCTAGACACACTCTACACCGGCTCCAGTCCGTCTGAGCCCGGCCCCAGCTGCTCACCCACACCCCCGCCTGTGCCCCGCCGAGGCACCCATACCACTGTTTCCCAGGCCCAGCCCCCTCCATCCAAGGTGTCAACCCCCGAGCCTCCGGCAGACGAAGTGGCAGTTGGTACAACCTCGGCCCCTGACGAGCTGGAGGCCCTGGGTGCTCTGAGCCTGGGCACCACAGAGGAGAAAGCAGGGGCTGAGACGGCTGTGCCAAGGAGCATTGGGGCAGAGCTGATGGAGCTTGTGCGGAGAAACACCGGCCTGAGCCATCAGCTGTGCCGTGTGGCCATCGGCGTCGTGGTGGGTCACATCCAGACCTCCGTGCCAGCCAGCTCACCTGTCATGGAGCAGGTCCTCCTCTCGCTGGTAGAGGGCAAGGTGAGGGTGGGTGGCACAGCTAGGAGCCTCCCCACCCAGTTCCCACCCTCATGCGTTTGTCCAGCCTTACCAGGTATTTGTCCAGCTCCAGCTCTGGGCCTTGGTTTTGCCGGGCGCTAGGGACATTTGAGCTGAGCCCTAAAAGGAAAAGGGAGGAAGAGCATTCCAGGCAGAGGCTCAGCCTGAACACAGACCGTGAGGCAGGGCCGAGCTTGGCTTATGGGAGGAAGTAGAGCAGAGCCAGCATAGCTAGAACACAGGGAGTGAGGAGCAGCGGGGTGGGAGGAGATGAGATCTGGGCACGTGTGGGTGGCCCAGAGTTCTCTCTGACTGCAGGGAAGGAATGGACTTAGGGCCTGGGTGAGGACAGTGCCTGCTGGCCTTGGCAGTGGAGAGAAACCAGTGCTTTAAGAGCTGTAGTGGAGACCTGGGTGCTGACCCAGCCGTGAGGGGGTGAAGTGTATGGGCATCGTGGGCTGGGACCCTTTGCCAAGGTTGGGACACTGGTCAGGGAACGGGATTGGGAGGCACTGAGCCGACTCTGCACAGTGGGGGCTGGATGGGCCAGAGGTCCCTCTCTCCAGGCTCCCCAACTCGTGCTCTGGTTTGGGGCACGGGAGGCGGTAGGTCAGTGGGTTCACCTGTGCTGGGCATGGCGGGTAGTGCTCAAGGGAAGTGTGGGAGGCAGGTGGGTGGCAGGCCTGGTGGCCACTGTGTGTAGATTCAGAGGGTGGGGTCTCAGTCACATCAGACAGTGACAGTCCATGGCTCACCTGAGGCTGTTTGTCCAGGTCTGGGATGGGAGGCGTTGTTGGGAAACACTGGTACACCTCATGCAGGACCCTGTCCCAGGAGGCCGTCAAGGCCAGCGCCTGGGGAATCACTTAGGGAGGGGCTTTAGAACTGGGCCAGTGCCCTTGGGAGCCTGGTGTTGAGGGATGGGCACGGGAGCAGGGCTTATGTGGCAGGCTGAGTGGGAGCACTGGGAGGAACAGTGGATGCAGGGAAGAGAACTGGGGTCTGGTCCTCTCACAAATCGTAGGAGAACAGTGACCAGGGTAGCTCTGGTAAGTGAGGCCAGAGCCCCGTCGCCAGCCTGGAGCTCATGCCCGTGACCTTGGGGTCTAGATCAAGCTCTCTTCCCAGCTATGAGCCATGAAGGACTTGAGCTCAGAGAGTAGAGCCCCATGGGTGGACTTCCCAGGCCTTGGGGGGCTTCCTGGAGGTGGTGACAGGCAGGGAGTGTGTTGAGCCATGCCTCTCCCCGCAGGACTTGAGCACAGCCCTGCCCTCAGGGCAGGTCTGCCATGACCAGCAGCGGTTGGAGGTGATCTTTGCAGACCTGGCCCGGCGGAAGGACGATGCCCAGCAGCGCAGCTGGGCCCTGTACGAGGACGAGGGCGTCATCCGCTGCTATCTGGAGGAACTGCTGCACATTCTGGTGCGGAATGGGGCGCGGGGTGGCCCACGTGTGGAGCAGTGACCTCTACCCTGCACCATCCCTCTCCAGTGCTCGGGAGTCTCCCAACATGTATGGGCTCGGCGCTCACATGTGGCCTCACAACTCCCACTGGGTGACTCCATGACACTTCTCCCCACAGACTGACGCAGACCCTGAAGTTTGCAAGAAAATGTGCAAGAGGAACGAGTTCGAGTCTGTTCTGGCCTTGGTGTCCTATTACCAAATGGTGTGTGTGAGGCTGAGGGGAGGGCCCAGAGGGACCTGGGTGAGGGGGGGCTGGTGGGCGCTGAGCACACAGGGTCCCCTGCCAGGAGCACCGGGTGTCGCTGCGGCTGCTGCTGCTCAAGTGCTTCGGCGCCATGTGCAGCCTGGACGCGGCCATCATCGCCACGCTTGTGTCGTCTGTGCTGCCTGTGGAGCTGGCGCGGGACATGCAGACAGACACGCAGGGTGAGGCGGGCTTGGGGGTTCCCACCATCTGGGGGAAGTTCCCACCATGGGCGGGGGCTCTGACTGCCTACCTTGCCCCCTAGACCACCAGAAGCTCTGCTACTCCGCTCTCATCCTGACCATGGTCTTCTCTATGGGGGAGGCAGTGCCCTACGCACACTATGGTGAGAAGGCACATTACCAACCAGCTGACCACAGGGGGCCCACAGCCAGCTGAAGCCAGGACCTGTGGTCTGTGGGCCTGGGGACCCGCTGGCCACAGCCTGACAGGCATAGGATGTCCCCAGCGTTCACAGGGAGGCTGGGTGGTGTGGGGAGGGGAGGGCAGGCTGCAGACCTCTGTGTGCCCCACCCCCAGAGCACCTGGGCACACCCTTCGCTCAGTTTCTGCTGAGCATCATCGAGGACGGGCTACCCTCGGACACCACAGAGCAGCTGCCGGACCTCTGCGTGAACCTGCTTCTGGCTGTCAACCTGCACCTTCGAGGTGGGGGCGAGGCCCAGGCGGGAGGTGACTCACCAGCTCGGGGCACTCCAGGCTCACCACCCATGCTTCTGTCTACGCCCATGTCCTTCTTCAGCCCCTGACCAGAACGTCATCATGGCCGCCCTGAGCAAACATGCCAATGTCAAGGTCTTCTCTGAAAAGCTGCTGTTGCTCCTGAACAGAGGGGGTGAGGGGCCCAGATATCTGTGCAGTTCCCCTTCGATGCCCTGTGACTCCATGATCCCCTGTGATGACCCCATGACCCTTTGGGGTGACTCTGGGACTCCCTTGAGAACTGCCCTGACTCCTGTGACCTTTGTCTCCTAGATGACCCTGTGCGCATCTTCACACACGAACCGCAGCCACCGCACTCCGTCCTCAAGTTCCTGCAGGATGTGTTCGCCAGCCCTGCCACGGCCACCATCTTCTACCACACGGACATGATGGTGCTCATCGACATCACTGTGCGGCACATTGCAGACCTGTCACCCGGAGACAAGGTGCCTGGAGGAGGCTGCAGTGAGGACAGGAACCATGTGGAAATGGAAGAAAATGGGGGGATGTGCGACTGAGTGGAGAAGGGGCCCCAGGGGCACTACTCAAGCCAGGTAGGTGTGGGAAGCTGCTCAGAAGCCGTGCCAGTTGTGCCAGGACCTGAAGGAGCCAGCCATGAGGTGGGGTGACGTGTTTGGACGAAGCAGGAGTCGCTTGAGTGGCGGGAGGTGAGGAAGAGGAAGTGGCGTTGGCACAAAGCCTGGAGGGAGTTGTTTCCTCTCAGGAGGGCAAGTTTCCAGAGGGTCCTGTGCAGTGATGACGTCATCTGACGTACATCCTGCATGAGATGTAGACGGTATGAGAGCAAAGTGGAAGTGAGAGCCAGGGAGGACGCTTCACAGAGAAAGCAAGAGGCAGAGAGGAAGCTCCTCAGGCTGCCCAGGGGGCGTGGATGGGAGGGGGACGGGTCAAGGCATGATGAGAAGAGGTCAGGCTTAGGGTGTATGGGAAGTGGTTCCAACAGGGCCTGCTGCTGGATCAGATGTGGGGGTGGGGGGCAAGGGACCAGAGAACCAAGGAGGACATGGAGAAATTTGTCTTGAGCAACTGGGTGGATGAAGTGCTGGTTACTGAGGTGGCGAAGGCGGGGGAAAGAACTGTTTTTTGGAAATGTAAGAGTTCTGCTTTCAATGTGTCAAGATTGAGAAGATCCCTGCTAGGCACAGGGGTGTCAGGGAGGTGGTGGGGTGCCGTGTGACTGGAGAGAGGTGCTCTGGAGCTGCCTGAGCGCACATGTGGTGGGAAGTCTGTGGTGCGCAATCACCTACGGAATGAAATGGACAGGAAGCCCGGGGCGATGAGCAGGGTGAAGTCCAAGAGGAAAACCAAGAGAGCAGGAACCCCGGAGCCACATGCTTGGAGGGAGAGGGAGATGGGCTGTCTCCACGCGGTGAGAAGCCTAAGTAAGATGAGAACGGGCTGTTGGATTTGCCACATTGAGATCAGTGGCGACTCACAAGAAATGTCGGTGGAGTGGAGGGAGAGGAGTCTGAACGGGATTTGAAGCAAGGGTAGCTTCAGTGGGGGCAGCTCTGAGTTTTGCTGTGAAGGGGAGAGAAAAATGCAGAGTCACTGGAGGAGGATGTGGAGTCCGGGAGAGTGCTTTAAATGGGGGGATGCCGGCACCTGTCATGGGCCAGGGAATGATCCAGTAGCATGGAGCAGTGGGCCATGTGGTGGGGACTGGGCCACCGCAGGAGGCGAATAGCTGAGGCAGCAGGCCAGGCCCGGGCCTGGGGGTTGGGATGACCCCGACGGGAGCAGGGGCCGTTGGTTCCTGTGTGGACGGGTGAGATGTGAGGGTGAGAGGGGAAGACAAGGGGAGGTTTCTGAAAGATTGCTTCTGTTTTCTCTGTGAAACACAAGTCCAGCCGACCAGGAAGTTCAGGTCTGGAAAAGGGGGAGAAAGGTGTGCGGTAGTCCTTTAGGGAGAGCAGACGCAGTGAAGAAATGCCGTGGGCGTCCCAGGCAGTGCTGAGCATCCATCTGGGGTGTGGTCGCGACAAGCTCAGGCCTGTGGCGCGGCTCTGTAGCTGTCTGCTGCTCAGACGTGGCAGTGGATGCGCAGGCACCTCAGTCTGAGCAGGGTTGGGAGTTAGCAGGGCGATGCTGCTCAGAGGAGGTTTTGGTATTGATTCCTCTGCTCAAAGGGGAAGAGAAGTGAGAGAGGGTGAGGGTGGCCGACAGAGAAAAAATGCTGAGGTCAAGTCAGTGGACTGGGGGTCCCAGCGAGGACAAGGAGGAGCTTGGAGGTTGAGTTGTAAGGGCTGTTGGAGCTGCTTAAACCAGAGGTGCTGGGAGTGTGGGTTGCAGGGAGGGGTGTTAGAGGTCGATTCAGGGCGTGTGCGGATGGTTAGATGGCCGGGCCTTAGAGGTGGTTGGGACTCAGGTGTGAGGGGAGGGAGGAATTAGAAGAGGACTCCCGGGCTTCTGAAGCCTGGCGCGCGATGGGTAAGCGCTCGGCGGCTAAGCAAAAGGTCGGCAGTTCAAATCCACCGGCTGCTCCTTGGAAACCCAATGAGGCAGTTCTGCTTCGCCCTATAGGGTCACTATGAGTCCAAATCAACTCGACAGCAGTGGGTTCCTGGGCTTCTGGCTGGTCATTTGGATGAGAACAGTGCTCTTTATTAAACAAGATAAGAAAGCCTTCAGTGGTGGGAGGGTGGGGGGGATCATTAATTGGGTTGTGGGTATATGGGTTTAAGATCTCTCTCAGATACACGGGAGATGACAGGTGGGCAGTTGGATGTTCTTGCAGGGAGCTCACAATAGAGTTCCAGGCGGGAAGTGTGAATATGGGTCAGTATTTGAAGCCATGGGTGTGAACGAGTTCTTCCAGCACGTGAGAGGATCAAGTGAGAAGCAGAGGGCCTTTGACTGACAGACAGCAGCACCTCGAGGACCCAACATTAACCGATAGCCAGGGGCCCACTGCCTCCCCTTGCCACCTCTCTCAGCCAGAACTTCCCTGGGTCGGCCACATCCTGGGACCATCGGTGGCTAGGATGATCAGTCATTCACTTACTCATTTAACACCTGTTGAGGGCCACTTCCGTGCCAAGGATGTTATGAGCACTGGGGATGCAGCCTTGGTGTTCGGTGGTGTGAGCTGGTCCACAGCCCTGGGGTCCACGTAGCTGCCATAGGACAGTAGTGGCCTATCCCTGTCTGGTGGCAATGGCAGGGCCTCCCTGAGTTGGCCTGCTCTTCCCACAGCTGCGCATGGAGCACCTCTCCCTGATGCATGCTGTGGTCCGCTCCACACCCTACCTGCAGCACCGCCACCGGCTGCCCGACCTGCAGGCCACACTGCGCCGCATCCTGGCAGAGGAGGATGCCTCGCCCCAGTGCCAGATGGACCGCGTGATTGTCCGAGAGATGTGCAAGGAATTCCCAGTGCTGGGCGAGGCCCCCAGCTAGCGCCCCCTCTGCCTCCCTTCCCTGCAGCCCCGGGCAGAGTGCAAGAGACCCCAGGGGCTTAGCTCCAAGAATGTTTGTACTGGCAGTGTGAAGGGAGAAGGTGGTGGAAGCGCCCTGAGCAGGGATCCCCCCACCCAAAGTAGACGTAATGCTTGGAGGGGCCAAATGTGGGATTGGGGACCATGGTCTGGGAGCTGTGCTGGGCTGGGGGGAATGTGCAAGCTAAAGCCCCTCCATCCCCTGGTAGGCTGCCTCTTCAGCATGCCCCCCGTCCCATACGTACACGCATACTCAGAGTCCTGCTGCTGCCCTAAGCTGGGCCAGTGCCCCCATCCCCACCCGACCTGGTCCGTTTCCTGGACCTCAGCAAGCCATGTCCTTGGGGTGAGGGGAAGCACCTCCCACCAGCTCTGTTCTTTGCCTTAGCTTTGCAGTTGAGTCCTGCTCATGTGCTCCTCCCTCCCCATGGCCAAGTTGCTGCTTTGAAAGCAGGATCTTGGGGACAGGCCATCCATCCTGGAGCCTCACAGGATGGAGTGATGGCCCTGAGAAAGCCAATGACAGAATCTATTTTCTCTGTAAAAATACAGACTGAAAAGCCATGTGTATTTTCCTATGTGCTGCATCTTACCTTTGGAAATAAACCACAGGCATCTGAAAACAGACTTCCCTGTGTGATGCTGGTTGGGATGGAGGATGGGCAGGGGCCACTGGGGACTCAGAACCCGGTCACTCTGCCTGCCCTGACCTCTCCAGCCGGAGGTGGTGATGACACCTGGATAGGCCTGGTCTTCAAGGCCCCTTGAGCTCTGTTCCAGCCTCTCCCCTGATCTCCCACGTCTCCCGGGCCCCTGCACAGCAACAAGTGCCCCGTGCTCCATTTACCTGTCTGCCCCTCCTCTAGGCTTTGCTTACGTCTTTCTTTTTGCCTTAAATGCCTTGCCTACCTCCCCTGTTGAAATGTTGAAACCCTGTCATCCTTTCTAGCTACTCAGTAAAGCAGTTCCCACCCCCAGCCCTGGCCTCCCAAGTTAACAGAGGCTCTCACTATGTGGGGGCAGCCAGGGACTTACAGGCGGACACAAATCAGAAGTAGTTTTTGTCAGTTCCCATCATTTTTTACCCAAGATGACTGTCATCACAAGATGCCACACATCCAGAATTACTGTATTGACACTCTAACTTCCAGCCAAGACTTCTGGAAGAAATCCTCTACAGCAAGAAGCATAGGGCTACCAGGGCTGGGGGTGGGGCCCCACGAAACAGTTCCTTAGGAAGCTGAGGCGGGAACATTCGACAGGGAACCCATGGGAACAAGGCACAGGAAGCTTATAGGAAGTCATTCCTCCTTAACCATTGACTGCTTTACAAAGCTAGGTGCACAGGCTCACCTGGACCTGAGTAGGGGTTGACAAAGTTTGATCCCAGTAAACCCCTAAGGATAAGGAACCCTGGAAGCACGATGCTTACACGCTCAGTTGCTAACCAGAAGGTTGGCAGTTTGAACCTACCAGCCGCTCTGAAGGAAAAGAGATCTGGTGATAGGCTCCTGTAAAGATTACAGCCTAGGAAACCCTATGGGGCAGTTCTACTCTGTCCAGTAGGGTCACTATGACTTAGAATTGACTCGAGGGCAAACAACAACAACAGAGCTCTGTGGGGCACAACCTGGTCACCCCTCTTCGTCCTGGAGGCATCTTGACTCCCCTTTCACACTGTGACTTCCAGTCACGACTCCTTTCTCACTGGGGTGCTGAAGACAGAGAACATTATTCACACAAGATAGTGTAATTTGGTGAAAAGCATAGGTCCTCAGGAATCTAAGGCAGAAACATCTGACAGCCTCCAGCTCTCTGCTCTGTTCTCCATTAGGAGGCACGCGCCAAGCTAGTGGGAAGAGGAGGGCTGTGCTGTGCCATCTGTCTCAGTGCTGGCACCTATAGCCTCCATGACGGGAGCATCAGAAGCCCCTGTCCACAAATCCGGGGTGGAAAGGAGGAGTGTGCTGTCACAGTATAGGGAGAGCAGCTAGGGTCACATAACAATGTATGTATAAATTTTTGTATAAGAGACTAACTAGAACTGCAAACTTTCACTTAAAGCACAACAATAAAAAAATTGAAAAACCAAAAAAAAAAGCCCCTGCCCACTTCTGCAGGATTGTCCAGGGGGCCCTTGATGGTGTTTTAGAGGGTTGCAGGAGCCCCAGCAAAAATGCTCTGGGGGGTCCTGGACCCAATCCCCTCAGCAATGGTTTTACAATGCAAACTTAGAGCCACCAGGAGAGATTATCTTCATGATTGGCTGGAGAATTCCTCTCAGGGAGGGACCTGTCTTTGAGGGAACATCTCTATGGCTGCGTAGAAGGATGGTGGACTTGGGACGTATGTGGCTAGGCAGGAGAAAGAGCAATGAGAGAGAGAGAGAGCCACTCCGTGAAAGAAAGAGGGGGTACTTGGGTGGGGTTAAGAAAAACTCAAGAAATCTTGGTGGGGGAAGTGAGGGATGGGGGCTTGGACTGACCTCTGGGCTAGAAATGGGCACCTAAAGGTGCTGGCACCGTGTCTGGGAGACAGGCACTCTGGACCTCAGCTGCACACACATAAGGCAACTCCAGTTTTCCAAAGTGGTTGCTACCAATGTACATTCCTCCAGCAGTTTCAATTGCTCCATATCTTTCCTGAAACATGGTACTGTCAGTGTTTTTTTTTTTTTTAATCTATTTTGATGGGAATATAGTGACGTTTACTTTACTTCTAAATTTGCATTTCCCTGATGATTAAAGAGGTCGAACACCTTTCCATTAATTTCCTGGCTATTTGGGTATCCTCTTTTGTGAAGTGCCTGTTCAAATCTCTTGCTCATTCATCTGTTGGGTTTTCTATCTTTTATGGATTTGTAGAATGTATTCAGGGTATGAGTCCTTGGATTATAATCTTTCATTTTCTTCTCCCACTCTCTTACTGTTGTCTTTTGATGAAAAGAAGTTCTGACTTGTAATGTAAACCAATTTAGCAATACTTTCCTTTATGGCTAGTGCATTTTGTGCCCTGTGAAAAAAATCCTTGCCTGCTCTAAAGTCATGAAGATCTTCTGTGTTCTCTTCTAGAAGCTGTATTGTCTTTTCTTTCACATTCAGATGTCAAATCCATATGGAATTACAGAGTAGAGGTCTCATTTCATTTTTCTATATGGATATCCAACTGATCCAGCAGCACTTACTGAAAAATCTATCCTTTTGAGCTGCTCTTGTCAAAATTCAAGTCTCCACACATTCATTGACCTGTCTCTGGACTTTATTCCGTTGGTCTGTCTGTCTATCCCCGCATCAGCACCACATGGTCATGGTTTCTGTAGCTTGTAAATCTTAATAACCAGTAAAGGAAGTTGTCCCCCTACTTTGGTTTTTCTTCAAGACTATCTTAGGTATTCTTGGCCCTCATACATTTTAGAATCTAGTTTGTCAAATCACACACACACAACAGTCTACTGGGATTTTGATTAGAGTTGTATTGAATCTATGTACCAATTTGGGAAGAACTGGCATTTTTACAATATTGAATCTTCCTATCTTTGAACACAGTTTTTCAGTCCATTTATGTCTTTCTTTTGATAATGTTTTTTGTAGAGTCTCTGCACATCTTTCATCAGATTTATTTTGCAATATTTGACGCTACTTGATGGTATCATTGTTTAACATTTTTATTTTCTGATATAGAGATTACAGTTGATTTTTATAAATTTACCTTGTGTCCAACAACTGTGCTAAACTCATTCATTCTAATAATCTATCTGTAGGTTCTTTTGGATTTTTTACATACACAATCCTGTTGCTTATAAATGAGTTTGATTTTTTCCTTTCCAATACTCACAACTTTTATTATTTTTCTTGCCTTACTGTACTGGCTAGGCCCTCCAATACAATATAGAGGCTCGTGGTCATGAATGAAAATAAAATGAGACTGATTAGCACGTTTGTGTGTTTTTCTCAGCAATCCTGTACTACCCAAGTGATAAGGAATACACATAGTCTGTTTTAAATTGGGTTAGATTTTAGCCCAAAAGACCTCTTTAAAGTGTTAAAAAGCAAAGATGTCACCTTGAAGACTAAGGTGCACCTGACCCAAGTCATGGTGTTTTCAATCGCTTCATATGCATGCAAAAGCTGGACGATGAATAAGGAAGACCTAAGAAGAATTAATGCCTTTGAATTATGGTGTTGGCGAAGAATACTGAATATTCCATGGACTGCCAGAAGAACAAACAAATCTGTCTTGGAAGAAGTGCAACCAGAATGCCCCTTAGGAGCAAAGATGGTGAGACTACATCTCACATAATTTGGACACGTTATCAGGAGGGACCAGTCACTGGAGAAAGACATCATGCATGGTAACATAAAGGGTCAGCAAAAAAGAGGAGGACCCTCAATGAGATGGATTGACACAGTGGCTGCAGCAATGGGCTCAAGCATAACAACAATTGTGAGGATGGCGCAGGACTGGGCAGTGTTTCATTCTGTTGTACATAGAGTCACTGTGAGTCAGAACCAACTTGATGGCACCTAACAACAACTAACAACAAGATTTTAGCCCACGGGCAACATGGCACTATAAGTCAGAAGCACCACACCATCCCTTTGCAGCAAAGATCAGAAAAACTAACTCAAACAGAGTTACACATCAATCCTGAAACACTAAGCATCAAATGAAGAGATAAAGAACTCAGCCAAGCACCAAATGGAATAAGAAACTGACCGAGAACAGAGAGCAAGGAGAGATACATGCAGAGGTCCCCTATCAGCTACCGCAGCACGGATTCGCCATCTTGGACTCCTATCAGAGATCAGTGAAGAGGGGGTACGAGAAAGCAACTTCAGGGAGCTTCCAGCAGGAGACAGAAAAACCGGTAACCAGCGATACAGGCTTTCCCACCCCCCGCACACTTCTTCACCCCCAGTTAGCCTCCTCTGCTTCCTGCAGCCACAGTCTCTTGGCCGGGAA